TGCGACAATCGATTTCCAGGGCGACTTTTTGCTCATTTGGGGGTGCGCCCCGATATCGTATTTTCGGGGCTTCTTTTTGGCATTTCGCGGGGCGAAATCGCCCGCCTGCCCCCGTGTATTTTTTTCCCCTGCGTTGCCGGCCTCTAATATGCGATGCGATGTTCGAATCGTGCACCAAGATCCGTACTTTATTTGTTCGTTATACCTTCCGTTGTTATATTCCCTCGCTGGTCTGTCGGCTCTCAAACCAAACATCAGTTTCTTGGCAGGTCGCACGCCATGCATCGCGATAACAAGCTTGGTGTGCACCGTGGGACTGGTGTCCGCTCTGGGCGCACGCGGTCGCTTACTCGCCGCGCAGCACCGCACTACATGCGCCTCACGCAGCAGGAGTTCACCGCACTGCGGCGGACGTTCTCGTGCCAGGGCATCGTCAGCCTCATCATGCTCATGCAGCTCCATTCTCGCCACATCTCCGCGACGAGTTCAAGGACATCAGGTCGGCGCGCGACCTTGGACACCAAGTCGTGGGAGCTCGGTCGGCAACCGACCGTCGTTCTTAGCTCCTTCACCACCGCGGCAGGCCTGTTCGGCCGGCAGCAGGTGATGGAGGGCGAGGAGTCGGAGTCGTCCACGCTACTGGCGTCGTCGCACCCGAACACTTCCCCGTCGGCGAGAGGCGTCGATCGACGGAGGAGAAGAGGACGAGGATGAGGATGAGGATGCTGAGGATGAGGAAGAGGAGGACGACGAGTGATCTGGCGTGACGATGACCCTCCGGTCGAAATTACGCGTCGAGCGAGCGATGGAAGTGGCAATAAACTGTAATATTCCTCGTTTAATTGCCTCAATCTGTCTAGAATTGTTTTACTATATTGCGTGTGATTATTTTGCATGCATGGCTAATGTTTGATCTCTCTTCGTGCATAATGCTTTTACGACCATCTCCTTGAATGCATGCTATGTGAAATACGACGTAATTTACGTGTAAAAAGTTTTCTGTGGTATGGATTTGAAATAATGTATTGACACATACATTCGTATGGTATTTTTACGTACATTTGTACAAGATGTAACCATATAAGCGTACATTTACACTTCGTACATAACATATGTAACAAGTAATTACTCTTATGCTGTTGTTAATTTCAAACGTCTATTGCAACCCTCATTAAAGGTTAATTCATGGCGAACACATGGTTTTCTCATGCCGACACAATTGCATTTAGTAGAAACACCATGTGTCTAACAGTTACAATTAATTGCTATATCACAAAATACAAAAGACAAAAACAAACCAAAACAACCAACAAACATAACAAAATAACCAAAACAAAAAACCAAAAAACAAACAAACAAAAAAATAAAATATCAAGAGCTGAAAGCTTTTGAGAACAAAAATATTAGAAAACGAAAACAGAATGATTTCACATGATCACGATCATGAAAAATTTCACATAATATATCACATACTGCACTATTATTATCCATTATTATTATTTATTACGCGTTGTCATTTATTATTATGTATTATTATGTCTAAATATAATACCACCACCTATCAGTAATCGTTATTGATTTATAGGTGCGATTTTCAGTTGGTTGGTCCATGAATGAGTGAGTCAGTATATTGCGCACCTATGGTCATTGCTCTTATACCAGAGCACTTATATCAACTCTGCTTATACCTCACCAATCCGCCTCCAGATGGCGACAAAGTCTGTCTATGTTCACGGATCTGTAAATCTCAGCTGTAAATCACATAGGGGCATACTGAAAAAAAGTAAGAGGTCTTTGGATTTTTTAAGGCGTGTATTGTAAAATTGGTCATTGTGTTGAATGAAAATTGTAGTTTGTACACTTATCGGTTCAAGGATAGAGATGATGTCCAGGACGGTGATAGGATAGGATGTTTATTACTGGACATGCTCTCGATCTATCCTTGACTTGAGCCCACTTATGCAGATAATCATAAGGTCTATGTCCCCCTGACCTCTGTTTGACCTGGCTCGTTTAGCTATTTCTGACTAATAGTAATACATTATTATGTTATCATATATATATAATATATATAGGGTTAGGGTTAGGGTTAGTCAGAAATAGCTAAACGAGCCAGGTCAAACAGAGGTCAGGGGAACATGGACCCTATACGAGGCCCACTTATCACCAATATTTGCAATAATACAGGGCTGCCAACTCTCACGCATTGACTCGCGTGAGACTCGCGCATTTTGACCAAATCTCACGCTCTCACACTGATCTTACAATATCTCACGCACAGCAACAAAATGTCGAGATATCTCACGCATGAATATCTATCTCTTCATGAATAAAACGCTGAAATATCTCACGCACAGCAAAAAAAATCATACAATATCTGAAAACAGTCACTTTAGTATGCACCAAATTGCACAAATTGAAGTTATAAAATGCAAAAGCTCCCTCCTACCGTGGGAGGGGGGAATCCCCCTCCCACATCCACCCCCAACTCGGTCGCTTCGCTCCCTTGTTGGGTTACATTATTATAGCTGTACTGCTACTAGTACTCGTAGTAGTAGTAAATGTTATTCGTCAAGACCCTATATTATGAGATCTAGAATTTCCTCAGTCCCTACTTTTGGAGTATACCTACCAGCGATGGATGCAGGAACTACCAGTGTATCAATATCTATATCCAGATAAGATCTAGCGGTGATTATCTTAGTGATCAATCTTATCATGACAAGTTGTCATCGTAGAAATATTTCAAATTCTTTTGTCACTTCTAGATGCTACTTGTTTTATGAGTGAAGTGGCCAAACAACAAATTATGTGAGTATATATGTTAGTAGAAACTAATATATCTTTACCACAAATTTACATATGATTGTTAAAACAGGATAAAAATGCTATGGCCATGCGTATACACATGAACATATGACGTATAATAATTTGTATACATATGTTCGTGATATGCGATACACAATAAGTTTATTGCAGTGTGTGGATCTATATATTTTTGTCAGTGATAAATGTAGCATGAAAGTGTAACAGGATTGTTGTTATCCCTGTTTTATGCTGTTTTGACTTTTGTATTATAGACTTCTAGAAATATATGCTGACCTCAGTACAGTGTGCATGGGTAAATATACCCCCAGTCCTGCAAACATATAGCATATGTGTGTTGTATATATATGTGGCATTAAATAAATAGTGTCAGTGATAGAGAAAAGAATGAGTAAATAAAAGGGGGAGGAAGCCAGAGAGTAAATCGAATCGATAAAGATAGAGAAAGGGGGTGGGAGAGGAGGAGAGAGTTGAATGAGGGAGAGGGTGGAGGTAACAGGAGGGAAACTGATAAAATATGTACTTCATATACAATTTAAAATGAGAGTGTGTTTGTGCACAGGCGGTTGCTAGAATGACGGCAGTAACGGCCTACTGTCCACGAAATCCCTGGAGCTGGAGAGAGCCAGGCAAGAATGGGATATCATTGGAGACAATCCTCACTAGAGACATAAGTTGCAAGACCTGCTCCAGCCACATGAAGGCTTCAGACATCTTCAGCCAGGGTGCGATTCAGTGTTATGTTGTTTACGAAAAGCGTAGCTGACGTCTCCTCAGCTAGTAATAAATTTAAAATGCTGACTAGTTCTTAAACAAATTTGGTGAATAATTAAGTATACCAGGTCACAGGTACAGAGAGTGTAAGTCAAGTATATTTCAACTGACCTGCATATATATATAT